AAGAAAAAAGAAAGACAGACATCCAGCTGATGAAAGAACGAAAGAACTTTGGATATGGTTCGTCTTGCATATACATATATATATATATCTATATCTATATAAACATATGTATTAATGGCAATGGTTTTGTGAGTAAAAATTCTCATATTCTTGTCGTTTTTATTTTGTACGTAATAGCCCTTATTTAATGAAGCTGATGATCATGGTTGGGGCTCAGTATCTGTTTAGTATATCAAGCGATTTTTCTTTTTTCGCTTAACTTGTAAAAGTACTGTGTCGATATATGCTTAGATATATGCGGGTAGGTAGGTAATAGATTGAAATGAATTGATTCAAATCGTGTTGTGAGCGAACGTGTGTAGTGCGATGATAGGAGCGAAGGTCATCATGATATTGATAGTAGTAGAGAGAAAGAGGGAACGAGGGAAAGGAAGAGAAATGAGAAGAAATATACTGTCGTGATGGTGCACACATTGGACGTCTCCATGTGTCTCTTCTTTTGCTTTGCTTTGCTTCTTTTTTTTGCTCCGTTTGCTATACTACTGAGACCGTATTTAATGATGTGCTGAGAATAGAAAAAAAAAATCGATGCAAAAATACGCATGTGCGAGTAAACGAGAGAAAACGCAAAAAAAAAACTGTGCTGATTTAGATAGAAAAGGACAGACACGAGTTAGAGCGAAAAAAGAATATTGACGACACCGAACAGCGTGATTGATTACTGAGAACCCTCCTGCTGATAGAAATCATTGTGGCGTCAGTAATGCCCGACACGTATTCTACTCAATAATACAAGGCCATGCTGAGCGGCGTAAAAGTGGACATTTATGTTAAATAGATGCGAACTTAAAAAGGCAATATATCTTTCATTTTGAATAGGGAAAAAAAGAAAAATGTAGTCATTTTGCGAACGTGACGGCGGCATTATTTCTTATCTATTTCTTTTGGCGAACATGTAAAAGCACGTATGATGTCTATAAATGACTTAGGCGTAGTACCTATCGATCTATAATCATATCTAACGTACGCTGATGATGTTCTAAACATATACATATATTCCTAGCAGCATATTTTTCTGCGTCATATGTATATAGCAAGACGTTTTAAATATTTGTTAGTCACTTTTATTTTAACGACCTTTTATAAAAAGCATAAAAAAAAGTGTATAGTTAATAAGTGCATTATGTTAGGTCATTTGTAAGTTTTGAAATAGGTTAAATGAACAATGAGAGCATTCAATAAGAATACCATCGTATCCATCATCACTTGCTGTCTGAAACATAACAGTTACTAATCCCATACCTATTCATTTACTTCGTTTTTTTTCTTGTTCTTTTCCCTTAGCCTTTTTTCTCTCTCTCTCCCTCTCTCTTTCTATGTATGTATTATTTCAGACCATTTCTTGTTTGTCATCACTCGTATAATATATTAATAAAAAAAAAAACGAAAGGAAGAAAGTAATGTCAGCTACAAATAATACTATAACAACAACATTTGGGCGAAATTCTTCTTATCCAACATGTGGAGGTTTATCTATTACTTCTAATAATCACACGGGTGTATTTAATGGACGACGATGTTCTTCAACAACAATTCTTCCTTCATCAATAGATCAATATTCCAAGCCAGTATCTGTAAATTATCAAACACTTGATCGACAAATACATTTAAATTTAAATGAAAACTTATCTTGGTTAGAACGTTGCAAACAACGTGTTACAAATATATTTAAGCAAATTTCTAAATCAACAGTAAAACAAGGTAAAAAAGAATTGAATTAAATTTTTTTTTGTGATAGAATAACATATAGTTTGTCATTTATATAATCTGATTGTACAAGCATATAAATATATATATATATATAAGAACAGTATGCACTTAATCATCTCTATCTCTTTTTACGCGTGTTCTTTCTCATTTGATTATTGATTCTGTTACTACGATACCTCGATAAAAGCAAATTTCATCATCATCAGCAGTACGCATACAAAAGCCAGTCATCATTGCCTATATTGTTTTATCAACGTAGCGGCAGCTTTAATATTTACTTTCAGTAAATATTTCCCTGTACACATTTTTTTTCTTCTCTTTTCACTATTGTTGTCAATCTTATTAATATAAAACTATCGCGGCATTGACTATATTTATATATGTATGTGTGTGTGTGTGTGTGTATGTATATATAGTATGGGCAAATATCGATCATCAACAAAGCGATAGAAAAAAGAAAAACGAGAGAGAGAAACGATCTAGACCGTATGTCTATATACATATAGAAAGAAAGGATTTGTTTTCTTAATAGCAACTGTACACCATCATCTTATATATGTATGCCGCTTGTCTGTTTGATTCATCCATCAAATTGACAAGAAAAGATCAATGAACATTAGTTTTCTTTTTTCAAATAGTAACACCATTTTGACTGACAATCTAAGAATAATACTCAAACTGTCATTTATATTATTATTCTATTATTCTATTAAAGATACAATACATAAATTTTTGATTTGAAAGAAGGAAAAGAAAAGAAAATAGTTCAATAAGTTCACTTAAAAAGGTGTTATCGAACATATATCTTTCTTATTGAATATGTAACCTTATCAGTATTCATGGACGTATAATAACATAACACTCTATTCACTTTATATATTTTCTTTTCTGTATAGTCAAGAAGAAAATAATCAAGAACAAATTTATATATGTATACTTGAAAATCTCGCTCGAATATATCTTGTTGACTAAGCTTTGAAGAGGAAAAGGTTTGTCAAGCAGAAGAAAAAAGTGTCCATGTATGTTGTACGAACGATGACGATGCCAATTGAGGCGGAGAAAAAGAGAAAGAAAGAAGAAGAAAAAAGAGCAATAACAATATCGAACTATATGTTGTTTTAGTAATTTAGTCTTAACAAGGCTTCATTTGTTACGTTGAAAGTTGAGAGGCAAGCTAAGAAACCTTAAAAATCTTTCAAGATTGCTTATATTAGATTATGATTGTACTCTTTATACCTCTCAATTATATTTCTTCTTTTTTTTTTTATTTTATTATTTGTCTTTTATAGATTCAATGACAATGAACAATACACTTCATCAACAATCATCTATATTTAATTATGATCCTGAACTTGATTTACGTGAAGAACATTTATCACTTGTTG